GGTAAGGGGTTAGGGTCCCTGTGACCGCTCGCAGCCCTGTGCTCCCGGAGGTGCCCGGCGATGAGCTATGTTTTAATTATTGTTGTAATTGTGACGGGGAATTTTGGTGCTCCGCGGGGGAGGGGAATTCTGCAGTGCTTCACCCTTTGGGAAGAGAAATTTGCATCCCCTGAAAAGGCAGCTGGCAAGGAAAAGCCAAATAAATCCCTGTGTTGATATACGATTAATCATTTATTTTCCTGTGAGTCAACAGATGTGACATTCCACCGCGGCACCCCTCGGGGCAGGTCGGATCGCCCCCGGCCCCTAGCGCAGGGGCCCAAACTGCGCTCCAGTCCAGTCAGCTGCCATGTTTCCATCCGTTCAAAACCAGCTCATTAACCCCAAGGCTATGTGCCGGGGCCGGCTCCCTGTCACACCGGCAGTCTGTGTCTGTTGAAAGGAGTGCCGCACGCAGGTCTTGCTCACGTATCCTAATGAATAGCTCCCAGGGCAGTAACAGCAGGGTTGGGGCACCCGAGGTGGCACAAAAGTGTTCGTGTTTCCTCACAAAGATCTTCGTTTCTTCATGGGTTTGCTGTGTTGCCTCAGACTTTCACCCTTTTATCTGGTTCACTGCAGGCAGTGGTGGCTGAAATCCTCTGGGTCTTTGGCACGCCAACGCAGCAGCAACAGGAGGACTCTCCACTAAACTGGAGGATTTTGTTCATCCCTAAAGCTTTTAGTAGGGTGTGGTATAATTTCTCTATTTTCCCCTCATAGCCCGCAGGAAGGCACAGGTCTGGGTCTGCCTCGTTTTTCTGCTATGAGATGCCAATTGCCTAAGGATGGGGAGTAGGAGTACGATCCCATGACCTGTTCAGCTGTGCTTGGAGTGTAGGATTATGTGCATTTCAGGAGGATAATTTTAATAGAGAAGGGGATTGTAATACAATTGTATAATGCCTTTTGCATTACTTGTTTTCCTTCCTTCAGTATTTGAGGCTAAGGGGTTTTTAAAGTCTCTTCAAGTATTTTTTAATTAATGTTTTACTGTAATTGCTTTTCTGATTGATATAAAGCATGATGTAAAGGCATGATTTCTCATACCATAATTGTCAGGGTTTTGAAATAGAAATGAAATATATCCTGACACTGTCAGAAACAACTGATTTTAAAGGAATATTTGCATTAAACACTAACAGAAGTGACTCCATCGTATTTTCCCTCCAAAACCAAGTCAGATCATTCTAAAATTACAGTACTTTCTTTCTCACTTCTCCCATCCTCTGTATAAACAAGATTCTTGCAAGCAAATTAGGCAGACCTTAAGTATCCATTTAGAAGCTGAAAAAAGCTATTTGCAGATATTCAGCCTAAATCATCCCATTCTCTGTAAGACATAGCCCATCTTGTAGTTTCATAATAAGCCTGTCTTACCTTTCATGGATTTTATTAACACGGATGAGCAAGCAAACATATATACACACCTGGATGAGGTAGTTTACAAAACTTTTGATCAGCCATAGCTAGAATAGTGAAGGCAAGCTCACAATTAAGACAGAAGCAACCCATCCATTTACAAAAATCACAAAACTGATACAGCAGCTTATAAGATCATATTTCTAAGGAACTACTTTGTATTCATTTTTCTCGCATTCATAAAATTTAAGGAGATTATATTTTGCTTTTTATTTGACCATACTATCGATAAGTGCCTATCCTGGCTTTAGGCCTTGCTTATAGGAAGTTACATAAAGAGGGCAGTGAAGCTGTAGTGGAGTACAGGCATGGCAAGACAACCATGAAAACTCATGAAATAAGCTCTCTGTGTGTATTTTTGCATAATAAAAGCCTCAGATTTTTGTTACGCTTTTTTTTATTCTCTTCATGCAAGCATACTTCTTACAGGCGTTACTTGCACATTTTCAGCATTTATTAGGTATTCTGAACTCCAGCAAGAACTTGAAAACAAATGCAGCTTTATAGTCTACTCTTAAGATATATGACAAAGGAGTTGCAGCCTTCTCAATAGCACTATTTTGTGGGCTTTCTGCTACATAAAGATGGGGAAGCTGAGATGTTGCATAGCCTTTCTACCACCCATTCTGTCTGCAACTCTGCTGACTTTTGTTACAAAAATACAGGCTGCCTTTAACTTTTTTACCAGAATAAATTCCACTAATGATAAATCCTTTAAAATGTTCCCACCTCCAAACTCGCACTCTGACCCAAGATTCTCACAAGGGAGTGAGATCTCTTCCTAGTACCTGTTAAACCCTTTCTAGCCAAACTGGTTCATCTGAGAGTTAACGCAGCAGATTGTCTCCTTTTGGTCTGGTAGGTCAGATAAACACGGATTCTGCTTCCAACTCTTTGTTAAATCCATATGTGATGGCATACCGAGAAGGTTCTGTAGTTCAAGGATTTCTTAAAAGTCATTTTACAGTCATTTTCTCATTTATTGCCACCCCAATACTATCTTCCTTTGCATTTCCCATTAGTGATCAATACTTCATTGCCTGCTCTTCCACGATGAAGGCCATGGAGGATCAAGTAGTCCAAGAAGAACCAGGATACCAGGATGATGAGGTAAATTTATGGTTCATTGAAAAATATGTGCAGCAAATGTTGTTTGAAGGTATTTTGATAGTGTTATGAAATCCACGGAGACAGGAGTTCCCCAAAGACCATCAAGGAGTTCAGTGCATTTAAAATTTTGTTCCAGTCTAATACCAAGAAAATCTCACTCTCCTAGTCCCTGTACAGCCTTGCTCTTCAAGTGCTCGTCATTAACCTTTCAAAAGCTATGCACGGTTTTTAATGGGATTATCATTATTTCTTTATATTTTACACTTCTATATTAAATGCAAGGGGACTGTCAGTTAATTTTATGCTTCCAAGGAATGGTCATCAGCCTGAAAAGGCTGAGGAACTGCGGCAATAAAAATAAAAATAAAGATGATGATGATCATAACACAAGTTTTATTAGCACAGCAGAGGATTGCTTGCCTGTGAAGATACACTTCATGAAGAAGGTTATAGGAAATGTGTAGGCCTTCTTGGCTCACTATGGATTTGTTTATTTGGGTAGTCCAATAAGTTATGTATTATTAGGGAAAATCATTTAAATGTTTACAGATTTGAAACAGACACATAGTGAGATAGATGTAGTTACAAGAAAAAGCAAAATCTAATTTTTTTCCTGTTTTTTTTTTTTTTTTTTTTTTAGGAATCCTTTTTTCAGGATATTGACCTGCTACAGAAGCATGGAATTGTAAGTATTAGCAATGACTTTACCACACAGAATTGCCCACATAAAGCAATTGTAAGGTCATTTTTCCAAAAGCATGTACACGTTGCTACAAATAACTGAAATTCCTCCTTGCAATACATTTTAAATCAGTAACATGAAGACAAATTTTGCCCTTGCTTTTCAGAAAAATCTCATTCCCATCAGATTCCTAAATAAAGTGACAAGACATTCAAAGTATCTAGCACCCAGCACTCTTGAAAAACCAACTACTTGCTAATTTATTTGAAAACTGTGTGATAGATTACTTCCTGTTCCTGCCAATCTTTGTAATTACTCCTGCATTTTTGGTGCCTGTGAAATTATACTGTGACAATTGTTGCTATACTATTTTCAGCATGCTGGTGAAGGGGGTAGAGTGGGAGTGAAGAAAATATTAGTAGCTAGAGAGATAAGTGGTTAGTTTTCTTCATCAAATATGAATTCCTATAATTGTTATCATCATCATCATTATTATCACATAAACAGCACCTATTTATTTGAATTACTATTATTATATGTTTATCCAGGAGACTGGCTCATGGAGTGGAACCCTATGCTCAGTGTTATAGAAGCAGAATAAAAAGTTGGGTTTGCCTGAAGTAATGTAAGACTTAACTCTAATATAAATGACTACAGACGGATAGAGATGGGGAGGACACAGACACAATGAGACAGCATTAGTCAGCACTATAGTTACTGGGCTCAGCATGTCAGCAGCATAATTGTTGTCAGCTTTTTTTATTGGCAATTCATTGACAGTTTTAAAGGGAGTTCTGAAGAAGGATCATGAGGTTGGGAGCTCTGGCTATGGGGCAACATAAGAAAAATACACAAATTCTTGTGTTAAAAATTTAACAAGTTGACCAGAGAGCCTGACCTCATGAGCTGGAAGGGAGCTGTACTAGCCTGTCAATATTAAATGAGGCATGGTATGCAGAGAATGATACTAAGGTATGAAAGATCTTGAAAATAAAGAATAATGACTTAGGCTGTTCTTCTGGCTTAATAAGTAAGGGTTTCCTGCTCCTTTTCTTTTTTTTTTTTTCCCCCCCTTCCTTCCAAGTGGTTATTCCCACATCCCAGGGGAAGTTTTTGTTCTCGGCTGTGCCAGTTAAAGTCTTTGTTGTGAACATATGATGACCCATGTCTGTTAAATTAATTTGCTTTATAAAGAAATAGTTTTTGTGGGTGTAGAATTCTTTTTCCTAGGAGTTGAGAGAGAAATATTTACTAGATCTGACAGTGTGACCACAAAGAGTCAGATTAGCACAACCTAGGCTGTGGTTTGATGTTCAAAAGTGTTTGGTAGGAATTAAGGTGCTGTGACCCTGCAGCCTTTGCTGAGTGTTCCTGCCACTCAAGCACACTATCCCTTCTTGTGGCACATCTGCTTTTGTAGTCACCCTGTGAACTGGATTTGTGAATCAATTAGTCCAAAAATTATCACAACAAAAGATGTGGTTTAGTTTTTTTTATTTGTAAATTCTCAGTCTGCTCCCTTTTCCACCTCAGAGGCATACAATTGGGACCAACATAAGGCAGAGGATCAGGACAGCTGGTGTAAGGGGGCAGGCATGTCAGTATGTGAAGCCAGGAGTACTGCTGAACACTTCATAGTATTGAACCACAGTCTAAGAAGGAGTATATCCTAGGACCTTGGTTGGTACACAAGCTGTTGGTCAAAGGTGTATCTGTGAGGGAGAGAACAAGAACTTCTACGACCAGGTCTACCACACAGAGACTTGTAATGCAGAACAGCCTTAAGGCTGATGTGACCAGAAAGACACAGCCACTGAAGAAATGCAGAAGCAGGGTAATGCGTTCAAAGTTTTGGTCTAGAAAAAAAATCTTTGCAGCAGTAGTCTGTTGTCTTAATAGAAAAAAACATAATAAAACAGCTCAATCCTTTTTATATTGCTAGTTATTATATTCTTTTGGGTGGAAGAGTCGTTTTTATTCGTGACTGATTTTACGTCATCCATCTCTATTAATGTAATAATCGAAAACCACATCACAGGATGAGAAAAAAGCTTCCCAATGAACATGACTAATTTCTCACATAACCCCCCTTCATTCTTATGTCCTATGCACCCACACGCTCTAGATAAATAGATGATGCATCCAGTTCATAGTTTTTTCAAGGAAAAAACTTTGCTGGAAATGGTAAATTGAAGTATTATCCCAAACCTTTCACATGGTATGTTTTCTTGGGAGTAATCTGTTGCTTGCCTTTAAGTTTCCAGTGATGTTGGAATCATAAAATGAGGTGAGGAGGCAAAATGTATTAGTAGGGCACTGACTGAAGTCGTGCTGTACCCAATTTATGAAAAACTAGTAAGTTCATTCCAGCCCAAAGTGTTGGTTGGATCTGGAGGATACGCGTGTTTTAAACTGGACATACTATGAACATGCAGAAACAGCACAGCAGTTAGAGTCAGCTCCCAATTATCCATGAACAGATTATCTGGTTTACAGATTACCTGAGCTAAGGGACCAAGGACTGAGTGTTACAGGATTTACTAGGTTGGGCTCCATGCTACTAATCTGTACTGTTTCTTTACTACCAGCTTGGATCTAGGAAGACTGGCACTGAACAGGGACAAGTACGTACAGCTTGACCCAAGACACCTTTCTCTCAAAAGTACCAGGATGTCTCTGCACCATGATCCCTCACATGAATATTACTCAAAATTTTCTGCTGTTGGTGTCATAACAAAGAATACTGTAAATCTATTTCTTGGTGAAAATACACATACATATGAATGTATAATAAAATGTTTTTCAAAGATTTACTTCGCCTTCTAGTTGTTAACTGTCACGAGTACTCACAGAAGGGAACTTTCTTCACAGAACGTAGCAGATATTAAAAAACTGAAGTCAGTTGGGATTTGCACAATCAAAGGAATCCAGATGACCACAAGACGGGCACTGTGCAATGTAAAAGGGCTTTCAGAGGCCAAAGTGGACAAGATTAAAGAAGCTGCAAACAAGCTTATTGTAAGTCAGTCCCTTTCCTGATGGTTTAAACTTATGCTGGCTTCTCCAAAATGCTGTACAACATTTCTCTTAACAGATTTTTTCACCACATCAAGATAATTTTGAAAATTATTATGCTCCTTACTCTAAAGGAATAATGCTTTATACAACAACCAGACAAATGCTGTGGTGCTTTTCATACCCAACCTGTGTGAATGAGGCGAGGGTGGAGAAAAGACATTTATGTGGGATATTGCACTTTACCTTCAGGTTAAAGCTAAAATAAACCTTTCATGTTCTCTTTGGTCTTCCTTAGGAACCAGGCTTCCTGACCGCCTTTGAGTACAGTGAAAAACGGAAGATGGTATTTCATATTACTACTGGCAGCCAGGAATTTGAGTAAGCTGATCTCTACTTAAATCCTTCCTTAGTCCAAATTGTTTCAATAATCATATTTATTGCCTTTAATGAGACACAAAAATATAAAGGAACAAATATTCAGCTAGGACACATAGGTTACCTTGCATTTGGAGCTAGTGCTGGCTCAAAGATGCCTGCATCAGTAAGCAAGAAAACCAACCCCTTTTCTGAGGGGAAACTGGACTTTGTACAGTCATTGTAGATAAACAGAGTTTGCATCCAGAAATCCTGAACGTATCATCATTTTTTCACCTAGTCAAAACAACCTGCAGGTCTCAGGTCAAAATTATGAGTCTTCAGGACCTCCCTTGAGATATTTTTATGGAGTGTTATCTTTTTAAAGGTATTTTCTCTTTTCTTCCTTTCCAGTAATAATTTCTATAGATCTTTCTCTTGCACACAGAAAGGAAGGTTGAGACAGAGTTAATTCTTTATGAATCAGTGATCATGTAGTGCCCTGCACTTAATGCATCAAGTGAGGGCTTTAGAGCAGAAATATCTTTTCTTAAAGTAGCAAAAATTTCTTTTACTTTTCTCTTGTCATTTTGTGGGTTTAACTATATCATAATCCTTTCCCTTTCTCCAGTAAACTTCTGGGTGGTGGGATTGAAAGCATGGCAATCACTGAGGCCTTTGGAGGTGAGAAAACCACATTAAATGAGTATTACTGAACAAAGAATTGCAACTTAGTTTAGATTTTAAATCAAGCTGGATTACTTCTATCAAACTGATCACGCTGTAGTCATAAAGACGAGTACCTGCATGAGGGTAAGAAGAAAGAATTCAGTTCCCTTAGTGTTTTCCCATTTTTCCTCTTCATTTGCTTACTGACTTGAGTAATCATTAGACTCGGGGCATGCTGATTAAGTACAACATAGCATTATTAATACTATTACTAACGTGTCATATCATAGGAAAGATTTCCCTGATGCAGTCTGTGTTCCTTTCCAGTAACAAAACTGCCACAAAAGGTATTTTATTTATGCACACTTAGGATACATTGCATATAATACTTTGAAATCACAATTAAGCTACTATTATAGTAAATTTGATCAGTTAGTGGTTAACACTTCAACAACAACAAGAGTTCATAAAACACAGTACTCTTCTCTTTAGAAAAGATAAACTGCAGACTGACGTGATTTGATATAATGAGATTAATAAACTCATAAGCTTCCCTTGATCATTTTACTGAAAATGAAACTGGGCCAGGTCAGTGGAATCAACCATTTCTTCCCCCCCCCCCCTTTTCCAAGGTGCCATGTGGTTTTAATTTCTACACAGAAAAGAATAAATGACTTTAGCAGTGAAGCATGATCAAATTAAAGCATTTCAGGTTTTGTTTTTCATGTAACACATTTCTACTGCACCGAATATGATTTATAAATTGGAGTTAAATGATTTAAAAAGGTAGAGATAGGGGTGAATTTTGTAAGTAAGAGTGTTTCTAACTGCAGTAGTTCCTGAATCTGAGAAACTCAGAAAAAGAAACCCTGACCTTTTTTTTTTTTTTTTTTTTCCCTCCCCCTTTCTTTTTCTTTATGTAACAGAGTTCCGGACAGGCAAAACCCAGCTATCTCACACCCTTTGTGGTAGGTATACTACCTTAAAACAGACAGCCATTTCTTCTCCATTCTTTACAACTGTATCAGAATTAAACACATAGAGACAAGTCAGAATCTTTTCTCTCTAGCAATACAATGAAACAGACATTGGTGATTCTTACCACCATTAATTGTCTTTGAGTAGAGTACTCTTATAAATGATAACTTTTTAATACTGCTCACATCAATGTAAGTTTTCCCATAAGGAGAGAGAAGATAATAGACTGTCTTAAAGAAACCAATGAAACACACCATCTGGAAAAGCAGAGTACAAATACGGGTTACAGGTGGACAGGGGCATTGCTCAGAAAAGGGCAAAGGCAAGATTCTTTCTCAGCAACTCTTTTAATTTCCTGGTTTCCAGAGGTTTTGCTGAATATGACATTCTGAGAGGGCACTGAAAGGATACTACTGGCTGACAGTAACTGGATAAACAAAGACTTTGGCAGTCACTGTATTTGGGCAGTGCCAAATACAGCAGGACTCTGATTTCCCAGTGATATCTCTCAATGTGTAAATAGTAGTAAATAATAACTAATGTAACTATTAATGCTGCTGGAATACAGTTATGGTAGGTACTGGGTAGGCAAACATTCCCTTAAATGAATCCTATATTATAAAGGGAACTATGGCACCTTCTGGAAAAACAAGGCCTCTTCCGTTTAGTACAGTTGAATGGTCAGCAGAGCCATACCCTTTTGCATGAATGATTACAGCTGAATGAATTGAGTATTTTAGCTTATTCACTCTAAGAGACTAAACCCACAATCAGTGACTATTCACATACCAGGAAATATTCATATCCAAAGAATTTTTGATCATATGAGTTAGAGCTGGGAAAAAAACCTACTAAATCAATACCATTAATTTGGACAGAGGATTAAGAGGATGCTTTGTGCGTAGTAACTTATTATTAATATCCTTACCTATTTTCAATATAAAATGTGCAGATCTAATGATGGTACTGAGTAAAACACAATTTTTACACCATTAATTAAATCTCATCTATTTCCTATTGAGAAAAGTGGCTTGGGTTTCTTCTCAAGCTGGCAGTAAGACTTGAGATACTCAAGATTTCCACATTGATTAAAAACGCTGGTTCTTTGTGATATGGATAAGCAGTTGTATTTTATCAAAAAATAACAATAGAGGGATTAAGAAAACATTTTCATGCTTTTTCATTTTGATTTTCTTATTCACTGTAGTGACAGCTCAGCTTCCAGGACCAAATGGCTACACAGGTGGAAAGATTATCTTCATTGATACTGAAAACACTTTGTATCTTTTGGACTGTTGAAAGCTACAGGTATGATGAACTGGAAGGACAGTTCATTTTGTTATAAGCAAGTAGTGAGGCTCCAGATAGCTTCATACATGTAAAGCATTATGACTGACACAGAAAGCCTGGAGAGCACAGTGTGTAGTGGCCCACACATTTTTCTCTGTCATTTGGTGTAATCCAACCTGGAAAAATTAGTTAGGATAGAGATTTTATTTTAACTGGGGTTTTTTTTTGAGATCTAATATGCCTTCTTGATAATGATACAGGCGATAGAAGCTTTTCTATTTACTTCAAGAGAAATTAATCTAAACACTATTTTTAACACTCCGTATCTGTGGTAGACTCTGTATAAATAGGTTTTGCTCACACCTAAATTGCTAGAGCACAGATATCCATATGTCAACCCGCCCCACCTCAAACCCTAAACACAAACCAATTATCATTGTGAGCCCTAAACTATCTTTGGAGTATGTGGGACAGTGTGAAGAGAAAAAGTCAGTCATTTCTAGGATCAAAATAAATAATCTTTGTTTTTCCATAGTTCTATTTTGGAACGGAGTTTTATTATTTTAAGAGCATGGTTTGTACAAAGAGAAATCCTTAACTTTGACTAATGTTAGCCGACCAGACCGTCTTCGTGACATTGCTGATCGCTTCAATGTTGACCACGATGCAGTACTTGACAACGTGCTGTACGCACGTGCATATACTAGTAAGACCGTTATCGCGTCTGGCATGATATCTATGTTTTTTCTCTAAGGCTCCTGTTTTAATAGTTCTCAGTTTATTAACTGAGATTGCCCACTGAGGATCATACAGAATGTTTTGCTGCTAACAAAAGAAGTTGTAAGCTTGCTTCCATTTTCTGTTTCTGGTGTTGTAAGTATTCTTGTGTTGTAAGTGGTAAGTATTCCAGCTTAGCTGCACTACATCATAAACAAAGTTTTGTCATTTGCCACAACAGGAAGTGAACTCTGCCATGTATATGATGAGTGTCAGTGTAGCATCTTAGTAAGAGAAGCACCAATTAATGTAACCACAATTGCCTGAACGTAAGCTAATTCTATAAATGCTGTTGAGAAATTCTCTATGATCTTGTGAATGGAACTTTACAGAGACAGCTCCAACACACTCTGTCACAAGACATTGCATTAAAACTTCAAGGAAGTTTTAAATGGGACTTTTACTTTGAGAGTACAATATGAACATGAATAATACGATTAATACGATTCCTGTGTGTCATTTAATTCAACATTAAATTCAAATGTTTATATTGCTTTTCAGTTCTTAACACAACAAAAAAGCTGTCTTCATGCATAGTTTTGTTGTGAAGCTTTTCACAAAGACGTGGTGGTAGCTGGGCAAGTGGAAACTGGAACCTGCAGAAGCACAGGCACTGCTGGTTACTGTAGAGGTAGCTTGTTACTGAGCACCGGATTTAAAACTGCTGGCAGTGAAAATATAAACAGTGCAGACATTTAAAGTGGAATTCTAAAATTCAGGCTTCTGTTGCTTCAGAGCTCTTTCTGGTCCTAATTTCATTTGGCACCTGTACTTCCCACCAGGTGAACATCAGATGGAATTGCTTGACTATGTAGCAGCCAAGTTCCATGAGGAAGCTGGTATCTTCAAGCTGTTGGTACAAGGCTAATTTTTTTTTTGTATGCTTACTGCTTTCAGAATATGTTTTCCTATTTTCTTTCACTATATTTACTTACCTAGCATAATTACAATGCAGATCGTTGACTCCATAATGGCGCTTTTCCGTGTGGATTTCAGTGGTCGTGGAGAGTTGGCTGAACGACAACAGAAACTGGCTCAGATGCTGTCAAGGCTCCAAAAAATATCAGAAGGTAAGGGAAACATTGCAAAACTTGGAAAACATGGACTGGAGTAACTGAAAGAGTAGCTGTGGGTAACACAACCACCTAGTAGTCAGAGTGTATTATCAGGCACTGGCCCAGGAATCTTTCCTCACTCTACACCTCTGTCAGTTACCAAAAGGAGCAAACTGATATATTATTTCAAGATGGCAGATTAAGGAGTCTTTAGAACTATTCAACATGTAGAGTTTTCTAGAAATGCTGTTAAGAGAAGTCCTAAATGAGACAGTAGGTTGTAGAACTGGACAAATATCCAGTAGGAGAAATTGTCTTCCCCAAATTTTGACAGTCTCAATACATGAGAAACGTGAAGAACAGAAAAAAGGATGAAGGCACAGAGAGATAAAAAAGCTGTGCCCATTGCCATGTTCCCAGCACTTTGCAATGCTGTAAGGAATGATGACAGGATGGATGGGGTCCCTCCTCTTTGGAATGTCTCAGAAATGTTGATGAGGAATGAGTAGATGTTTTTTCATGCAGGGGAAAGGGGAAAAAAAAAAAAAAAAGAGTACAGACAAAGGGAGGGAGAGGGGGCTGAGAGCAGGGAGCCAACAGAGAAGATGGGAACTGAGAAAGACTTGTTCAGTGGAATTCTGAAAAGTGCTCATTTTTTGGCAGAAGTATTACAGTTGAAGTCACACAGGAGCAAATTTAGGCTGTCTCCTGATTAACTCCAGCCATCAGAAATATAGAATATTTGCTTCTCTTCCGTTTGAAATTTGAAGTGCTTCAGCAGCAGCCTTGCTTTTAGCATGGATGGGAGAATATTTTCGAATTCTAATTGGATATCATCCACCTTCTTTGCATTGTTTTCTATTGCAGAATACAATGTGGCCGTGTTTGTGACCAACCAGATGACTGCTGATCCAGGAGCAACTATGACGTAAGATACTTTTGCTCTCTCTTTTTTTGAAAAATTTCTTCTCTTTTGTATTACATATTTAACAGAGATGAGAACTGAGATTGTATGGAACAAGAGGCACCGAAATGAAGGTTCAGATTGGTCATTGGTCCCCCTGGTATGATGAATCATTCATGGATGACACCTATAGGTTTCTCTCAGTTTTCATAATGAGTTTATCTGCTGCCTGACATGATGGCTTCTTTCACTGTGACTTGAACAAAGAGAACAAGCCATAAAAAGTATTCAAAAAGCACCCCATTTTGTTTTGGAGCAGCTTATATATGAAGTTTAAGGTGTGTATTTCTTGAGCCTCTTTAATTTAATGAGAGGAAAATTATGCCAGCATTGAACATTGGAACATCCTATCTTGAGGCAAGTGTTTTAAAATCCTTTTTTTGATATATTTACTTATTTATTATTCATTAGTGAGTTCAATATGCCTTGTCTGACAATTAATCATGGTACTAACCTATGTAATTTGCACAGCAAATCATCACAATTTTCTTGCTAATTTAGCTTTCAGGCAGACCCAAAAAAGCCCATCGGGGGCCACATCCTTGCTCATGCTTCGACTACCAGGATTAGTCTGAGGAAAGGGAGAGGGGAGCTGCGTATTGCAAAGATTTATGACAGGTAAATCGCTTTTCCTTCACAGGAAGGAAGCTGTGTTATGAACAACTGTAAGGTGACAAAGTTCGTGGTCCTGAAACTTAGTAACTTAATTGGCAACTGATTTATGGTTTCAAACTAACCACATTTCTGGATGGTAAGTTAAGAGAAAATCTGAAGGGGCAAACTAATTAACAGACTTAAAGTTGTCTTGCGCATCACATGCATTAAATTACATAATTTTTCATCTCTTAAAGATGACCACCAAATAGTTTGGTGAGATTTGTGGTCCCACAAGTTCC